TACACAGCACACACTCAATAAATAATTGGTGAAATGAGTTGAGATATTGTAAAAGTCCAATTTTTCAAAAGATTCTAGGCTTACCGCAAAGTGAAAGATAGAACAATGTTTAGCAGAAATTTGCATTATTGCTTTTCTCTCGGAAGATTTTAGAAGGCTTTTAGAGAACAACTATAATTCAAGAAGCAGCACAGGCCTTAGCTGTATTATTTCTAAAAATTTTGATTTGAGTTGATTTTTAAAAAGTAATTTGTGTTTCAAATATTCTGAATCCAGAGACACAGAATATGGTATCACATACTATTTAAATGAGTAAGTGCTCCCTTGTTTTGTCATTTAATACTAAATACAAATCAAATGTTTATCTGTTTGAGTTTGTTCTTCAAAAACAAAATGTTGAGAAATTTGGCATATAGGAGAAAATTAAACTCCTGCTTTAAAATGTTAACCAATGACCCACAATATCTCAGATATTCTCAAGTCCTGAAAAGAAGCTCTAAGTATCTGTAGGGCACTGGAATCACAGTAGGAACGACCGACTTCCTTTGCTGGGTACAGGGCTAAAACAGAGTGTTTACCTTTGCTTTCCAACTCTACTATATGTCATTTCATTCCTTTATGTCATTTCATTCCTCTATCTCATTTCATTCATTTTCTTTCTGTAGGATTTTTCTAAGTTGTTCCAGAGAGGAGTAAGTTAACTTGCAAACTCAGAGCTGAAGCAGCATCTTTGTCAGCAAAGGCTAAAAGCCTCAGAGAGACCTCCCCAAGGATTTTCACTGCCCTCATCCTAGACCACACAGTGTCCTGTGCTCTTAAAGACTGAGGATCCCTGAAGCCCTGTTGTCCTCCTCCTCACTCGGAAGAACTTTTAAGGAAAAAATTCCTTAGACTCCATTAAACATCCTTGCATTTTCTAAATACTTCTGTGGTGTCTAAGCAGCTCCTTTATTCTGTGAATATCTTCAGGGTCCTTTAACTGAATGGAATATTCTCCAAATAAGTATTCATTTTTGTGCAAAGACTGAATTTTTGGATAGTGAAAAAGGAGCCCTTGAGTACATCCTAAGAAGCAAAATTGTTGTATTAGCTCAGATTTTGGTTACTTTTAGTTTAGTGTTCTTTGAAAGGTCATGGTCACCAGTGATGCTTAACTTAAGTACCCATGTCCTTCTTCTGTTAGTGATCACGTATGATCAATTATTGATAACTCTAGTCAAGAAATCTTTAAGTCTATTTATATTTTCTGACTATATTCAAGGGGCTTTCATATATTACTAGTGCCACAACTACAGTCTAGGCCAAGATTTTTCACACCTGGATTTCTGCAACAACTTCCTAAACATTTCTCTCACCTCTGGTCCAAGGCTGACATAACAAGACTACTATAACGTTCCTTTTTCTAATGCAAATATGATCATTATTTCCCTGCAACAAATTCCTCAAAAGAATCCCATTGTCTTCATGGTACATTCCAAGCATTTTCTTTGCCCTTCAAGACTTTTCATCATGTGGCCCCATTTTTGTGCTCCCACACTTGACATTTTATGCCTACCTCATCACATGGTGCATAGAGATGTATATGCCTCTTTATTTTCACAATAGATTGAGAGGATCCTGAAGATATTCTAGAACTACACCATAATCATCTTTGTGTTCTCATACCCTAGTCTAGGGATAATACAGCAGAGGTTCAGTAAATATTTACCAAATTAGTAAATGATTTTTGAGCTGGAAGTTCTTTCTTTTGTAGAAGACAGAAACATATTTAATTATATAAAATGAATTGAAGGATATAGACACCCTCAGAAAAATGCTAAGCATTATATAGTTATATATATTTAATTACATGCTTATATATGAGCTTTTTTTTATAATTATTCACAGTATATATTGGGAGAGATATTCACAAGAAAGCATAAATGGTCCAACTTTTTGAAAGTCTGTGTTATGAATGAGCTTTTTACCCTCTGCCACAACTGTGTTTTTCTATTCATGTTTCCCCAGAATTTTTAGAGGTGTTTAGTTTTCAATGATGCATCTCTTCTGCCCTTTGCTACTAGATACCAGAGCTGTATCTTTGGTTTTAGAGTAAGATTGAGATGGACTAATATAAATACAATATGATCAGTAATCTCATCAGAAACTTCTTACTTGCATCAAATCTACTTTGGGAGATAAAACATCTAGGGAGATACTTTGCACACAGACAGAAACCATGACGGAATATTTCTACCTTTTATGATTCCTCTTTCTCTAAAATATAGCTCTGTTACAGATGATTTTTATTAATCAAGAGAGTAAAAATAAATTGAAAAGAGAACAAGAGGACATTTTTAAGTAGAGCTAAAAAAAAGGGTAAATTTATCAAATAATGTTATATACATCACTAAAACAATAGTCTTCAATTGAGCAGATTTGGAAAAATTTGTATGTGTGAATATAACTATTACAACATAAATCTGAAATTTATAATAAAACATGAAATTTATAAGTAATCATATGCAGTTATGGCTCATAGGGAATGTTAAACAATTGACAGCACCTTAGGACTCATCTACTATACTAATTTTTCGTTTTTGTTTCTCAGAAAAATATGTTTTCTATTCAACCCAGAAGTTGTGGGGAAAGAAAAGGAGAGGAGAAAGGACCTAATAAAACATGCCTTGACTCTAAACTTGACCACAGCTTAAACCTGTGGAACTCATCTTTTATTTCTTATTCCTAAAGTTGAGCTTCCTAGTAAGAAAAAATAGAAGCATCTTTCAGGAGCTAGAAGCTCCCTGCACAAGCTAGTCCATGCCCATTACTACAATATAATTTATTGCTATTCTCACCTTGTGCAGTACTTTCTCACATACATCCTACCCTTTTCTTCTGCAGACATTTCCCTAGTTTATTTTGCCTAGATCATTCTTCCCTCAGATCTTCATGAAGCTGACTCATTCTCATAATCATATCCCAACTTCAGTGCCATCTCCTCAGAGAGAGATCATCCCCAACCTCCCTTGTTAAAGGAATATCCTTCAGTTACCATCTGTATTATATCCGCTTCTCACCTTTGGACTCTAGGTTGTGCCTTTTGGTCAGGAAGAACCTAGACCTTCCTCTAGGATGAACAGCTGTTACTGTGAGAATCAGCATTAGTATTCTGGTTAACTGGATGCACTTCACCCCTTTTGGAATCTGTGTAAAGGTTATAGTTTAAGGAAATTTTCAAAAAGGAAAGTAGGTAGAACAGAAACATCTGATTCAGGATGAAAGCCTGTATCTGCAATCAACATTTATGTGGAGGCACAAGAAAAGAAAAAATTGCGGAGAACTTGAGGAAAAGTATCACCGAGACATCTTTTTTAAATGGTCTCAAAATATTTTTTCCTACGTAATCTCCTTTGATTAAAACAAGCTAGCAATTGAATATGGTGCAGTGCCTGATCCCCAATCATCATATCACCTGTAGATGAATGATGAAGGTAATCCATGAGCAGTTTAAAAATAGCTTGGTATGGTCAGAGTTGTGTTAAATGCTGGATGGGACACAAACATTCACTTCTTTATTAAAAAAATATTTATTGACGGCCAAACCTGTGGACACTAAATCCCAATCTCAGCACTCCTGAATCTTTTAGACTAGAATGATTGAAAGAGAATGTCCCATCCCAGAAGCCAGTTCATTAGGCAAAACAAGAAGAATGTATGAAATGTCAACGGAAAAATGTAAAGATCTAGATTGGTATGATATGAACCAGAATAACTGAGGATTTTAACACAGAAAAGCATTTCAAAGAACTAAAGATGAACCCAAGATTTGAATTCTGGGTACCTGAAAAATGATAGTGCCCCTGCCAGAGAAGACACCTGGAGAAATCCAAAGTGATATCTAACAGGAGATAAGGAGGAGTGTTTCGAGTATTATATATTGAGTTTGAGTGATCACTGACAGCTGAGTGAAAATGGACCATCAAATGGCCATCCAAGCAGCCCTGGATCTGGGGAAGTTTTGTGTTGGAGATGTAACCTTTAAAATGAAGCGATGTGAAGTAAGTGTAGCATGGTATCTGGAACTTAATAGGAGTTCAAAATATGTCTGATGTTAGATTATTAGCATAGAATTCAGTTTTAAATATTGACTAGATGGGGGGGACGAAAGCTAAATGGCAGGAAGAGGCTGGATTGGGGGCAGAGCGAGTGTGCTCTAGTGAACAAGAAATCAGATGTTGACGCGTACTACCATATCCCCATATAACCAGTATCGAAGAAGCACTGCTTAGGATGACTGGGTTAGAGAAGAAGAACAAATTTCATTGGCAGAATGAAAAAAATTTACACGAACGTACTTAGAAATGATCTACTCCCCCTCCTAACCCTGTGACAGAACACCTAGTCATCAGGTTAAATCAGGCACCAGAGCAGAGGAAAACAAAGCGTGCTCAACTCAACTGGCTGCAGCGCCTTCCAAATAAAAGACCAGATACCCTTTCTTCCCTCCCCACCTTGCAGGGGTCCTCAGGCCCGCCCTGCGCTTAAATCACACACCTCGGAAGTTTTGTATTAGAGAGCCCAGCAGGGGAGGAAATTTTCTGCAAGTAAAGAAAGTAGAACTAGGGCAGTCCGAGGAGATTGAAAGGGCAAAACTATCAAGCAAGAAAACTGTAAGTTCTGATTAGTTTTATGACTTTGCCTTCATGCCTCAGGAGCTCAATTGATCATGGCTTCCAAGACAGGCTAAGGGTAGTGGTTTGGGAGGTGGGGGGGAATCTTGAAAAAACTCTCAAAACTCTCCTCCAGCTCCGTGCTTTCAAATGCAAATACCTCGCGAAGAGATGGATGGGCTGCAGCCCCTCCTTCTTTCAACCCTCTTCTTTATTTTCCTGCGAAGGAATCCATCTGTACAGATCTGTCAGGAGGGAGGTGGAGGAGGGTGCGCGTGTGTGCGCGCGCGTGTGTGTGCGCGCGTGTCGGCCGAGCGGCTCCCTCTTCGCGTTCTTTTCCAACAGCCCTCACTGGATCTCCGAGGGGTACAGAAGTCTCAGTGGCTCCCTGGGCCGGCCTCGGACGGTGCTGACAGCGGGCGCCCCCGGCGGACCACCATCACCCTCTTGCACTCCGTCTTGGCTCGGGGTCCCTGGCGCGCTCTCTCCTTGTCGCCCGCGCTCGCCCTCTCGCCCTCTCGCCGGACGCGCGCTCCCGCTGGCTCCAGACCTGGAGTGCGCCTCTCCCGCGAGTCGGAGGGGCCCCTCGCAGCCTGCAGAGGCAGCCGGCCCCGGGCGCCGAAGGCCAGGGCAGGGCCCCGGTGCACCGCAGAGTGGGCTGTGATTGGAGGAAGAGCCCGTGCCGGGCGGGCGCCAGCGGGTACAGAGCAGGTGCCTCCCGTCCGCCCCGCGCGCCAAGCTGCGCGCACTGGGTCCCGAAGCGCCCGCGGGCGCCCGGCAGGGGAGCGCACGTCCTTTCGGATGCAAACGTCCGGATCCGGGGCGTCTGACGCCGCTGGGAGGGCAGCGAGGCCCCAGGTGAGTGTGCCTGCCTGCCTGCTTGGGGTTGGGGAAGGCGCTGTTGGGCAGATGTGCGCCCTTGCTGTGCGCATTTGGAAGCAGAACTAATCAGTGAGCGGAAAGCGGGCGGGGGTATATCCGTGTGGAGTTTCCCTTGGCGTTCCCAAGTTACTGCGTGTTGCCGTGAGACGTTGCTCTGCGAGGCAGGACAGGCGTGTGGACCGAGCTGGGAGCGCGCGGCCGGGAAAACCGGTGCTGACAGACACCAGGTGCGACAGGAGAAGTAGTTCGGTGTGAGAGCACTCACCAGATGCAGCGGTAAACACGGGCGGTCGGGACCGCTCTCCTCAAAGAGGAACACAAGCGGGCCCCTCCCTTGACCTGGGACCGATGGGGGCACAACTCCGCGCTGACTCTGCCGCCGGACTCTGCAGAGGACTGAGGCTGGAAGGGGGTATGTGCCGCAGTGTGCAGCGCCTTCCCAAGCCCAGTCCTTTGAACCATCCGCGGTAGACACCTTTTGCCTTTCCTGAAGGTGGAACTCACCTAAGGGTGCTTTGCTTTTTCCTGTAATTAGTATTCTGCTGATATGGTGCTTCTGCGTCCTGCTTCCCCTCCGACTGGCTGTACCTTAGGTGTGCGATGGGAAAAGGGCGTCCTGCTTCTCTGAATGCATGGTGGACTTCTTCGTGGGTGCACATGGTACACGAATAGTTGCTGGTATACAACCTTCCAATGTGGATTAATGAGAAAGGACCTATTACTCTGTTCCACTTCACGTTTTAGATGGTTAACCCTACGGATCTCTTAGATGTCAGAGTTCAGGTGAGTAAAGATTGGCAATGAGTTCACCAGGCACTGGGAATGACAAACAGTTGAGAAACCATCAAGGACTCGGTATCTCAAGGCTTTGGAAATCTGCAAATTGAATTATGAATAGACTTAAAACATTTTTTTGCTTTGCAAGAAATATTTTGTCTTTGTTAGATCTTTTATTAAGTGAAAAACCTTTAAGAGAGACTTGCCCTCCATAATTTCTGTAACCAGGCAAGTGTTCAGATCATGTTTCATATAGAAGTAGATTAAACAGAACTTTGTACAAAAAGAAATAGAAAAATGTACCTTGTCAATATATGGCCCTTGCTGCATGCAAGTATTTATTTTAAAAACCATATTTACAACACACACACACACACACACACACACACACACACAAAATGTATACATTAAGAGTTTAGGAGCAGTAGCAGCCTTTGTTTAAAAGAAAAGTTTGTATAGACACACTGCCAGGAACATCCAAATAGTTTTAAGAGTATCTTTATAAAGAAAAATTGTTAGGGGAGAAAAGAGTTAAGGAAAAAAGTAATTACATTCAAAGCTTTCAGTAACTGACCAAAAATTACTTCTTTTCTAAACAACTAGTTAGCCTTTGGTTTACCTAAGCTCTTTTCTTGCTACTATATGTAAAGGCAAAATGCATTAAGAATGCTTTTCTTTATTTTTAGGGCTATTTGGAACAGTATGAATTACAATGCTAAAGAAATGAGGCAGGTAGTCAAACTGGCAACTTTGTGCAAGTCTTGCTTATATGTTAGTATTTCATATGGATTGGTGTGGCAGAAGCAATTAGGTAACATCCAATGTTAATAGTCTTATCTGGGAAAGCTAGCTGAAAGTCTGTCTGTGGAAAGAAAAATAAAGAAAACAATAGTCAGTAGTGCAGACCATCACCCTGCTAAAAGCTATTAGGGTTTGCAGCTTTAATAAAAGGGTATTGTGCACTTACAACGTGAGATATTATTGTAATTAAGGGCTGAAATAGGTCATTAGAATTGTGTTAACAATAAGTTGACAGACTCACAACTCTTCTTAAGTCTGCTTTTATGGATTTAATAGCACAGAGCTTTTCCCTTTCTTATAAAAGTGTAATTGTAAAGCATCTATATTACAGCAATTTGCCCTTGAATTGACTCTAGGTTTTAGTGTCCAATGAAGAAGAGAAGAGAGGGTCGAGAGCACAGTAAGTTGGCCACTGTTCAGCCTTTTTTGGTCTAAAAACCAAATGACTGTCTCTCCTCAGGCAAGATTTCTCTGCTGGTCTGTTATTCAGCACTTTGGTCTTTTTGATGGCAAAGCTAATATAAACTCAGAATGTATACTCCTCTGAGGAAGTGAATGCAATTTTGTCTAGAGTCACATACTTTCTTTGTCAAATCTTTCAGAAATTATAAAAAACTAAACTCATAAATTGTGCTGTGAATATTTACTCCTGAGTGATTCCAATCTTCCTGGTTATTATAAGGTTTAACATTTATCACTTTAATAGTTTGTATCACATCACGGTTCTCTCACAGACAAAAAATGTCTTTTACTTGATTGGAAGGCTTCAAAGCTTTAGCTTAAATTGGGAGTTTCAGGAACTTCTAAAATAACTAACATACATTAGTTGATTGCAAAGGATGAGATGGAAGCTTTTTCTTTCTTGGGATGAGGGAATCAGATGCTACTTGCTGGGGTGATAAAGGGGAGCTGAGGACAAGGAAGGAAGACATGTGATCAGAGTCCTGTGTGTGACCATCTCCCCAGCCTCTGACAAGAAGAGCGGCTCTATCTGTAACCAGCAATACACGAGTGCCTCCTCTGGGGATTTGCTGGTTCTGCAGAAAGACACCCCTGCAAACACTTCCCCCTTGTCATTCTGCAAGTCTCATGGAAAAAATTATCGGTGCAAATGAATATGCAGGCATCTGTCCATATATTCATTTCAGATTATAGTATAGATTTTCATTCTGATAGAATTTCTTTTCTATTATTTTGCAAAGTGTTTATTGAAACATAATGACTTTTACTGAAGTCACATAAATCACATCTGGCACAAGGTAAATACTAGGGTAAATTAAAAATTTAAATTGATACAGCTAAGATTTCTGGTAAGAATAAAGTATATACAAAAAAGACCTTTAAATATAATTTTAGAATCTTGTTATTACATAAGTAATTCAGAAGGACTCTGCTTTGATACTTGGTTACTTTTTTTTTTTTACAGAGGCTTCTTCTATGTAATTGTAAACTATTCTTTATCCCTTTTTTTATTCCTTTCACCCATGGCAAAGGTTGTGCTTAGTTGAAATTGACTCTATAATCCACTTTGAGAAGTTTTCTTTCCATGTTTGATAACCAGATGCACACTACAGGCTATGTGATTCATTTCCAGGGCCCCTGCCTGCATATTTAGGCCAGTTAACAGTAGGAGGTTGTGGTCTGTGGCTGTAATGTTATCTGGCACAGGGAGCTAATAGATTTGATCACAGTTTCTTTATGTGAGAAGTTACATATCATAGAGAGTCCCTAGCCTCACTAATTAAAATGTAAAAAATTATACCCTTTAAGTACAAAATAGAGGGCTCTTTCATTAGTATTAAAATTATTGAATGTTATGTTAAACTTTAAATGGTATACAGATACAACAAATTAAATGATAGTATATTGCTATACTAGAAGGTGAACATGGCAAAATTAAATCTAGGTGATTATAATATTAGGAGCAGTTATCTCAAAATACAGGATTTAGAACACCACCCAAAAGGGTATAATTGGTATGGAAGTTGTTTTGCCAAACAAAATGGCCCTATATATGTATTTTTATAGCCTAAGATATTTTCTTGAGTTCTAAAATATTCAATGGGCTGTTGTTCAAATTTCAGTGGAAATTGTTAACTACTTAGTGTCATAATGTATTAGGATTTTTTTTTTTTATTCTAGAGATGTTTAGAGGGGAGAAGGCAATTTTAAATTTAGATATTGCTCACTCTTCATTTTTGGTAACATAGAAACATACAAACCTAGACAATAGATTCCTCAACTTTTTCTTCTTACTCTGCATTCCCTGCCCTCCTGAATGGTAATTATGATGATCTACTACTTTGAAAATTAAAACTATAAAAATTTGAGTACAATCAAATCTACTTTTCTTGGCTTCTGGAAAAGGTCATAAATTCCAAAGTTCACACATTAAAAAGAGATTCATTACCCAAATGAGAAGTTTTTAACAAACACGTGGAAATGCTCATTGCATCCAATTATGCTCAGTTTCATCAAAAACTAGCTGTGTGACCTCGGGCATTTCACTGGAAGTATGTAGATTTGAATTGTTTTTTTAGTAAAGAAAGAAAGGGCTGTGTTGTTTTTTGTAATGTCTGTTCCAGTTCAAATAGGTTACTCATCTGTGGTTCTCCCACTTCAGGAATCTTTGAACATGAGGAGTTATAGAGTTTGAGGATTTCTTTAAAATCCTCTAACATGAACCCTCATGAGAATAAAACTATTACATTCTTCAGTATTGAAGTGACATTCTCTTTGTCTATCTCATAGACATTGTCCTTAATAACTATAATGTTGTGTTGCAGTTGGAAATAAAGTGTGGCTACAGTTCTTAGAACATTCCTAGTCCTGGAGTACTTTCTCTCTAGTGTTGTGTTCTGACAGCTGCTCAGTCATGAATGGGAGGGGATTAGAATATATCTTTTTCCCCTTTGGTATTACCAAAAATGTATTAAGCAATTGTACATTAAAAATGAGTAAAAGCAATAATGGATAAGTACTATCCTTTATACAAAGCAGACTACTCTAACTTTGTGGGCAGAGATAAATCACAGGGAGGGTGTCAGTGGTAACAGGTGGCAGCTGTCCTTGGGAAACAAGGTCAAATGAAGGTTTTTAAATAAGACATTGAATGAATCAGGAAGCAGTCTCTTCATTGAATTCAAATAAAACCATTCAATACCCAAAAAAGATCCAAAAAGAACAGACTTCTTTTCCCAGACTATACAAAAGAACTAATAAATGGAAGGTTGCTCTTAAGGCAATGGTAGTATTTTGGATCGTACCCTCTACCCATTGCTGTGGAGAGGTGTCATTTCCGCTTTTAAACATTTGTATTGTTTACCCTTCATAAAGATTCATTAACATATGCTGCTTGTCAAAATGCACTTCAACTTTAAAGCAGTCTTAGAAATGAC